GAGCTGCGGTGCCCCGAGTGCCGGCAGCTGCTGCCGTCGGCGCGGGCCCTGGGCGCCCACCTGCGCTGCCACCGCCTGGGCGCCTTCGGGTGCCCCCTGTGCAGCCGCGTCCTGCCCTCGCCGGCGGCGCTGCGGGAGCACCAGCGCCAGCGCCACGCCCGCGACTGCCGCTTCCTCTGCCTGCTCTGCGGGGCCGCCCTGGACACCGAGGCGGCGCTGGCGGCCCACGGGCGCGGGGCCCACGGCGGGCAGGGGGGGGCCCTGCACCGCTGCGCCTGCGGCAAGGCCTTCGCCAGCATGACCAAGTTCCTCTACCACCGCCGCTCCCACGGCGCCGGCGGCGGCGTCGGCGTTGCAACACCGGCCCCGGAGGCCGTGGAGGTGACCCCCGAGGCGCCGTCGGAGCCGCTGCCCTGCGGGCTCTGCCCCAAGTCCTTCCCGGGCGCGGCGGCGCTGGCGCGGCACCGGCGCTTCGTGCACCGCGCCGAGCGCCGGCACCGCTGCCCCGAGTGCGGCAAGAGCTTCAAGAAGTCGTCCCACCTGCGCACCCACGTGCGCAGCCACACCGGCGAGCGGCCCTTCCCCTGCCGCGAGTGCGGCCGCGGCTTCCACAGCCGGGCCAACCTGCTGCGGCACCGCCTGGTGCACTCGGGCGAGCGGCCCTTCGAGTGCGAGCTGTGCCACAAGCGCTTCGCCCAGAGCTCCACCCTGCGCCAGCACCTGGGCACCCACCTGCGCCGGCTGCCCCACCGCTGCCCCGAGTGCGGGCTGCGCTTCCCGCGCCCGCACCGGCTGCTGCTGCACCGCGCCCTGCACACCGGCGAGTACCCCTACAAGTGCCCGCAGTGCGCCCGCTCCTTCCTGCTGCGCCGCCTGCTCGACGTCCACCTCCTGGCGCACGCCGGCGGGCAGCCCCTGCTGTGCCCGGGCTGCGGGGGGGCCTTCGCCTCGCCCGCCCGGCTGCGGGAGCACCGCTGCGGCGCCCGGGGGGCCCGGCGCTTCGAGTGCGGGGTGTGCGGCAGGAAGGCGGGCACGGCGGCGCGGCTGCGGGCGCACGAGAGGTCCCACCTGCCCCCGGGCGCCCGCGACGCCCCGGAGCCGCCCGGGACGGCGGCAGCGGAGCCGGCGGAGGCGACGCCGGGCCCGGCCCGGCCCCGGCCCCGGGGCACCAAGAGCCTGGAGTGCGGCGAGTGCCGGAAGCTGTTCAGCACCGAGACGTCGCTGGCCGTGCACCGGCGCATCCACACCGGCGAGCGGCCCTACCCCTGCCCCGACTGCGGCAAGGCCTTCCGCCAGTCCACCCACCTCAAGGACCACCGGCGCCTGCACACCGGCGAGCGGCCCTTCCGCTGCCCCGACTGCGGCAAGGCCTTCGCCATCGCCGTGCGCCTCGCCGAGCACCGGCGCATCCACACCGGCGAGCGGCCCTACGGCTGCCAGAGCTGCGGGAAGAGCTACCGCAGCTTCTCCAACCTCTGGAAGCACCGCAAGGTGCACCGGGACAGGGGCGACGGCGCCGGGACGGCGGCGGCAA